GGACAGCTCCGTTCCTCGCTCGGATTCCCCGAGGTTTGTTCACTACCTTCTCCCATGTTTCAGCACTTCATCCTTGATTTTGTTATTGTCTTCATTCCCAGCTTGCCGAAGATCTCTCGAGACCAGTTGCTGACTGACAATGCTCTCTAACACTAGCTCTGACTTCGAGTTGACTGTTCGCCAACAACCGAAGCAGGCGCGGGTCGCCGGCGGCAAGGAAAAAGGTATGCATCCATCTTCAACCGTGTCTGGAGGCCTGGAGGTAGTCGATATGATCGTTGACCATCTTCGTTCGCAGAGCGCAAGCCAGTTGACCCGCCACCTATCGTTCAACTCAAAGTTCGCGAAGAGAACTCTTATCTTGCTCAGTAAGTTGCACTGAGATACCAGCAAGATACCATTTGATGATCTGACAAGGATAGACATTACCTCCAAAGTCCGTATTATTTCATGTGTTGCAGTTTGTACCATGCCACCGAGGATCATCCAGTTCACTACAACCAGCCATCAACTGCCATGGCTGGCACCTTGGTATCTTCTCTACACCGCCTGAAGGATACGGATAACACCGGTAAGTGCCTTTTCTGGACAAAACCGCCAGAAAGCAAATCTCAGTCTGACTCGAACTTCTTTGCTTAAACAGATGGGGGATTCTTCGTGTTTGGGGACTTGTCTATCAAGGTCGAAGGCAATTATCGGCTACAATTCACCTTATTTGAAATGCAAAAGTATACAAACGATCGTACTATATGTATCGCTACGCTGGTATCTGACAGGAATTTGTTTAGGGATAATGTCGTTGCTCTCAAGTCGATTCTTTCCGACCCTTTCTCAGGTAAGTGTTTGCTCTGAATGCGTGGTCCTTCGTCGTCGTTATCTAACTTTATCCAAGTGATGCTACCAAAGAGTTTCCCTGGGATGCATGAGTCCACGCATCTTTCACGATCATTTGCTGACCAAGGGGTGAAACTGAGAATCCGAAAGGAAGCTCGGAATGTGATGTGAGTCTTAAAGCTCTCTGTTCTACCTGCGTAAGTGCGTCACCTTACTGACGCCAAACTCTAGGAAACGAGGAGGAGCCCGACCTGAGGAGTACGCCCCAAGTTTGCCACGTTCCCCCGAACGAACGACTATGCCACAAATGGTTCCCAGTGCGTTTGCTGGCTATCCCCAACCAAGTTATTATACTCCAGTGCAGCCTTCCAAGCGCGCTCGTACCTCGGTGGACGTGGATACAAGAGCGGTTTACGAACCCGACGCTCGTTTCACGCATGGCTATCAACAGCCAATGTACCCACCTCAGTCAGGAACGTACCAGAACCCAATGGGATTCGGTTATTCCACAGGACAGACTGCGATACCAGAATATGGAATTCGACAGCCACAAACTATAGCGCCTGCGGGCTCTTCATACGGGACATCGGAGGATCCCATGCTGGCAATGAGATCCCCAAGTGCTGCTGGCTACATAAACCCGCAGCGGTATCCGCCTTATACCAATGCACAGCTTTCGTATGGCCTTCCTTCTCAGCAAATGCCCCAGCTCTCGGATTCTCAACGAAACCCGCAGGCACCTTTACAACCTCTAGTCACAGGCCAGTCTGTGAATCAGCAAACCACTGTATGATTCATTACTCCCCTATAAGGATGCGAAGAGCTGCACCTGCAAGTCTGGATATGGGTCGCTAAGAATTGTGATTCCTCTCCAGGGGTCAGTTTCTACGGCTTCGACAATGCCAGATGCCTATCAACGCTCACAATTTGAAGCCAGTCCGGCCGTGTTACCTCCTATCCACCGAACTCCCCATTCTCCTAACCAAGTAGTAAGCGACAACGTTCCAGAACGATTTTACACGTCCCCTGATCAGCTTCTCCCTCCTGTCCTTAACTCGCATACTCTCAACACAGTGGACATGGATCGTCCTGGGACCAATACAACGGCGTTTGATATTTCTGGCACATCTCACGAAATCCGGCGGTGATGCATTCTTCGCAGACGATACGGGAATAAAACTTTTGTTTTTGGATTTTTGTTGTTTTTTTATTAGTCACGATCACTCTATCCTGTATCCATATACTTTCGTTTTATCCGATAGACTGTGGGCAGAGGTGTTACGGTAAGGAGGATTTGGTTACATCATGCTTTTTTCTTTTTTTCATACATGGCGCCACGGGAACCACGGGAAACAAAATGGGCGGCTGTACTGCTTTTGAAAGATGACCAGAAAACCAGAGGAGTTATTGTTATTCACATGTACATATTGGTATTCATTTGCTATTGTTGCTATTTATTGATCGGAGAGAGGGGGGGTGTCTTTCAAGACTGGCTGATAGGAATTTCGATTATTTGTATTCAATTTCTCTAACAAAATCCATTTATTTCTTGGAACTGCTGTGATCCAGATTAATATGCGTGTTGAGAAACAATAGATGGGGTAACCGATTGGTGTTGAATTGAAAGGCGCAGGTCTTATTGTCATTGTTGACCAGGCACGGGACGGGGCGTCAAGCTGTTGAGAAGTGAAGCATATCATTTTTAATGGGTGGCTGCACTTTCCCTCCGTTGTTGTTGGCTGCATTCCCTCCTCTCTCCTCCACCTCTTGATATCTATCTGTCAACCTGCGTGCCGTTCTGTTCGTGGATAAACCAGACCTTTGACGCGATTCAGTGGCCTCTATGGAGCTTCTACAGGCCTCGAGTCTTCGAATCAACGCGAGCTGGGACGGGAATATCAACCGTGCTGCCAATGTTTGCGTGACCGTAGAGGTGAGTGCCATATTTTTACCAGTGCGCTGACGTACGCAATTGCCAACCTTGTTAGGTGGAAACCAAACCAAATTCTCGCCTTCTTCTTCTAAACAAAGTCAAGAACACGGGTCTTAGCCACTCGATGGTGTGGCGGATTAGCAGTCTTGGTCAAGAGGTGCCTACTGTGGATGTGACCGATTCCAAGTCGATTTCGGCCCATCAAATCGATTACATCCCTCCTTCTCCACCGAGAAAGCTATTTGCTTCGAGTAGAGGTGATCAAGATGAGTACACTATTGCAGAAAACCCAGACTCTTTCTTTCAGGACTGGCTTTCTAGGCACGATACAAGGGAAATATTGGACGATCAGGCGAGCACTAGCAGTGAACCCAAACAAAAAACCATCGAAGAGACGGCTATCAACGTAGCAGACACCGAAGATTCATCAGATGTCTTGTATGTCGACGAGGCAAGCGAAAACTGTCTTGGTGAGCAAAATTTAGATCGATGGGCCGATATGGACCGATCAATCGAGCAGTATTTTGACGATTCGTTTTTGGGCTTGCCGCCTAGCCCGACACCGTCGTCTCAGGATTTAATCCCGTGGACGTCAACAAAGGAGATTATGGACCGCCTCAAAGCAGAGCAAGAAATAGATCCACTGAGCGTTTTCTCAGAAGTGATTGTGGCGCCACCACCAAGAGATCCCGGCATCATCCATCAAAACGGGCAAATGTTTCTAGGTTTCCCGGCCAGTGTCGAGGCCAAAATATACAGGGTCGACCTATACTTTTTGAAATATGTGCGTGAGTGTCAGGATAACTGGCTGGAACTTGACTTGTCACAAATCGGAACGGCTTGTCCAGAAGTGCAGGGCCTCTTTGTTCTTGAAACACCTCGGGAGTGTGAGTTGAACAGCATTGATCTGAGCAACGCACGGGAAGCAAACGGCCGTCTTGAATACCAGTTCAGCCCTCAAGGCTTGAGAATCATAACCTTCCGCCAGCGTGAGGACAGAGACTGTACAATAATGTCTTCAAATGACGACGAACATGCTTTTATTGAAAGCGAGCCGGAGGATTCCAAAGAAGATCTTCTGAGCAGCCAGCAAGAAATCTCAGATGAACCTTTGCAGTCCACGGACGAGACGGGGTTTATAAAACCGAAAACACCCTCTTTTCAGGCTGATACACCGCGGCAATCCACGACGCGCATTTTGAGAGAGTCTTTACACCATTTTTTAGTGTATTTCTTCTTCATGATGGTTGTGGTTTTTACAGCCGCTGGTGGACCACCAGAGGCGATTGCGACTCCTGCAACCACCCTATTGACACTGCATAGAGTGGCCCGCCATATGAGCAGACACGGAAGCAACATGCAGACGATAATCATGGATACGGTTCGAGACGTTCAGTTGCGGCATGGTTGGCATGTCTATCCCTGGATGGACGCATTGATGAATGAAGAGAGAAATGTGTCGATACAAGAGTCGGCCACATGCCTTTTAGTAGATGTGCTGATGCAACAATCGGCCGCGGTGTGTCTTGCAACTGAGGATACCGAAATGCCGAAACAAGATGCAGGCACAGCAGATATCCTGACTGGAGGAGCCGCAGTGTTGGAGTCAGCTATTGCCGGTTTTTCAACTGAGAATGTCGACATACTGGTTCAAGAGTCTGGCGTAGCTGGTGATAGTCAACAGTCAGTCGCAGCTGGCTCAACGAGTCAGGATGTCGATACACACGAGGCTTTGGTCACATCGACGGTGGGATTTTCGACTGTGAATGACAGTATCGCTACAGAGACTGACAAGGATACATGGACATGGTCATCGCTTGGAAAGAGGATTCTGAGTCAGGTTGCATGTTCAACGTCTGTGCACTGCATCATGGTCACAGCGGCTGAAGACAACGATCCGCAATGGGAGGTTTTTGAGAGGTATCGCTGCGATGCGAAGAATAGCTGGGACACTGAGTTTTTGAGGGACCGCATTGATGATTTTCTGGGCTGGACGCCATGTGAATTGCAGAATTTGAAATAGATTTCCATCAGGATATCAGAGCTAGATTTTCCTGTTTTCAGTAGTAGAGCAGAAGAATTGTTGAATTTGAAATCTCAACGAGACGGTCACAGCTAGACTTTGCTGTTTTCGTTGGAAAAAGGTCAAGATAGACAAGGGAGATACAGTTAGCAATATTAGCAATACGAATCGAATTGGCTGATATGATATTATTCGGGGAAAGATGCACAATCCGATATGGTGTAACGGTGAGCATCGCCGGTTTTCATGATTCATGACTATATCTCGGCAGATCGGGGTTCGATTCCCCGTATCGGAGTTTCCTTTTTTTGGTATTTTTTGGGGTGGACAGAAATCATATTACGTATATGTGTTGTACAAATAGAAAATTATTACTTTTGATAATTACATGACGAAGTGACTTATGTGAGCCACGGTTGTTTTTTTGCTGTCAGCCAGTTTCAGCCTCACGGCGTGTTGGTTGGTTTGTTGGGGCGAAAATAGATTCCGACGATTCGGTACTGAATAGTTAATGATATCATTGAAATTTATATATATTCTGTGCAGTAAAACTCTTCATAAGCAAATTTCTTTCTTTCTTTCTTTCTTTCTTTCTTTCTTTTTTTTTTCTTTTTCTATTCTTTCTAAAGAAGAAAAGAAAAGGGAAAAAAGAACTTCGTGTGCTTATAAGAAGTTTTACTTGTGGCTAGGCCGATTTACATAGAAATTATGTAGAAAACATACGTTTACACAGAAGTACTATATTTGCTATTAGTAAATATCAAGCTTGCTTTTTAAAAGTCAACAATGGTAATTGCCGGTAATTTTCTTTTACTCTTAATATACACATTTAGCCCTAAACAATATTCTTTATTAATGCTAGTCGCCTATAAGACGTTGAGAGTCTGAAAAACTTCAAAGAAACCGATGCGAGTTCAATAATTTTCCCCCCCAAAAAACACACGCCAGGCAGCCGTATCTTTCCACCGACGACTGAGAACAATGGCGCCACGTATTAACTCCGATCCGACGCCGGAGAAGTTGTGGATTGTGGATGGTGTGAAAAATGGTTTACCTTCAACAGTTAGGCCACGAACGATGCACCCAGGAAGCTCTGTGGGAAGTATAGAACACACGCGAATGTTTGTCACACCACAAATTAAAAAAGACACGCCATCAGAGGAGCAAGAAGATGTCATAAACGACATGTTGGATAAAATTGAAGAGCAATTCAAGGATAACATCAACTAATGGGTAAATTTTCGATGGACGAGCTAGTTATTATCCCCCCCCTAACCATATCGATCGAACCAGCGCCGGTGTGGGCAGAGCTTGATTCCTCTAATTATACATTTTCCAAGAAACGGCCACATCTTCCGTGCGTCCTCCGGGGATATGTGCTTGTATGTATTTGTCGAGGGCCGACTTATTACGTTGTTGGATTTCACTTATATCGAGCTCCGGGGATATCCAGCCATCTGCGTCTGTATCTAGATAGCTCCTTGCAAACTCCTGAATGTCATGCCAATCCCGATATTCTTGAAATTCTTGTTTAACATGCAAAAGTTGTTGTTCCGAAACTGAAATAGGACATTGTCCAGCAAGGCCTAACGAGAGCAGCGTAGCTCGTAAGATTTAGTTATCAAGGTATCATCTCTTGTAGAAATTGTAAATGCCCTTTCAGATATGTCTAGTTTGTTAAAATTGTTCGGTAGCTGTGGTTGAATAGTGTTATAGATATAATCGTTATTGGGCTTTAAGAATTGTGACCAGGTTGCCTGTAGGAACAAAGGTCTAAGAGATATTGACTGTCAATCGATAATTGAAACAATCTGGGTCGGGTCCTCCTCGGACGTATATATTTCCCAAATGTAAATCCGTGTGCCGTATGATTGGTTTTGAAATCGAGGCAAGGTCTCTGTGGTGCGATTCTAATAGGTTTATGAGCTCCATAGCACCTTTAAGATTCCCTATCTCCTTGTAGGCATTGCGGCGGCGATGAAGACGATTACCTGTCTTTTGCGTGTAGCAGATTCGATATATTTCTCGTTTCGTAAGGTCATGCCTATAATCGGATAAAGAAGGCCCTACAATTATAGAGAAGGGCTAATTCAGTAGTTAGAAATAGAAAGAGGAAAAGACGTCGCTACTTATAAGGATCTCTTCTAGGATCTGATGTTAGAATTTCTGGATGAGATTTAATACACTATGAACGGTCCATAGAGGGCCTGATATAATAGTATTGACTTGGATCGATATCTACAGGAAGTGGATGGTACTCACTTTTGTTTAAGTACGACTCTCTTAAATATAGGCTTTTGGATAATGGAAAATGAATGCAGGGGGCTAGTTGGTTCTCTAGTTTTATAAGATGTTTGGTAAGAGTAAGCTTCGACTTTCTATCCATATCGCCCTATTTCATAGAGCTGGACTCCTGGGCCTTCTCCATGATTATTATGTATTCGCTGCCAACGCTGTTGGATGAGTCGTATTCCCACGCTAGCACCCTGGGAACCGGTATCGACGTATGTTGTTGTACTGTTTTTGTACGATACGTATTTAGCAACATTCGCTTCGCAGCATCTAAGAGTCGACCGCCGGGGCCATTTTTGACTTACTGTATTTTAGTGTTGCCATCTCCGACGCTGTTGAGCACTTGTGGGGTCCAGATAATTTTGACGGCAACTTTGCAACTATTTCCGATCCGTCGGCTTTCCTCATCAGAAGTGCTCTGCAAAACCCGCCTTTCATCTTTTCAATAGCGGCAATAGGCGATTTTGTGCATCCGACAGCAGCCGCTGCATTGCAGAGCTGTGAGATGTCAAACTCGACGTAGCGCTGCCGATACTGTTGTTCTTCATTTATAAGAAAATGGCCATTAGTGTACCTGTACAAATCTTCTTCCCTGATAGGGCTGCCTGTAAGGAAAACTGTAAGCTAGAAGAAGGCAATGTAGGGGAGGGATGCTTGGCGTATGTTCCTCGATATGTAATTGTCATGTTTCTCACATGCTTTGGTAGTTTGCGGTAAAACAGAGTACGGGCAGTGGTTATCCTAAGGGTAGAAGCACTATATAATGATAACATTGGGCAAACAGTAGATAGATTGACTAGTATATTGCCTAGATAGAGCGACGGATGTGATGATTGCGATGCTAGCTAGCTACTGTATGGATGATATGAAAGGTGGTTTGTCGTAAGGACATGTGAGGCAAGTAGGACATTGGAAGCATCCAGTGTCCGCCGAAAGATGCAAACGGGTCAAACAATCCGTCGGAGATTTTTTTTTTTTTTTTGATATTATGGTTAATTCATCGTGTCGGTAGATCCTTATTATATTTAACCGCTTTAGAAGTTGATGCTAGGCTGATCAATATTAGGATCTGATCTGTTACAGCAGCATGTTGATATTGTTATGCCGTCTCAGCTCGATATTTTTAGTTGGACTATCAGATAGTCTCACATGGGACTTCAAATTCAAAAGGATGCGGAAACCTGTTTTATGACCAAGTGTTCTTTATATAGATAAAATTAAAAACCCAAGTATCTGGAAAGAACCAATAGTCAGAGGTTAAGCAAATTTATATATAAATTCTAATTCTGATAGTGTTTACTTTACTTATAACAAGGTTTACTTATACATGTGGTTGCTTGTAAAGAGATTTTATCGTATATATTTCCCCAATAAGCACAGTCAGATCTTAATAGATATTAATAGACCAATGTTAATTCCGAATGTTAGATAGTTACTATTGATCGTTGGTTGTTATGTACTACGCGCAGGATGCGTCCCAAAAGGGTAAGGATTACGAGTACGACCAACAGCAATCGTATTTACGAATACGACTGACACTGCCGATTCAAGATTATGGGGAAACCCAGAAACCCCAACAGCGGGTCACGACCAAAGAATGCACTACGTATTAATTATATACATAGTATGTTGCTGCCTGTGTTTCACAGTATCTTTTTTTCGAAACACTATTGTTTTGAATTTGCGTCTGCGTCGTATATCGGAACTTTTACCCACAGGAGATATTGCATTATTACACAATTATTAACATTAATGCCAAGGGCAATGTTATGCAGCTCATTTTTTTTTAAAGTTATACAGGGTTGAGTGATTAATATCAATTTTGAAACAACTCATCCAAATTATCATGAGTATTATGAGTATTATTATTCAAATAATGTTCATTATACTGTCTTTTCGACTCACGACGGCCGAAGTCCGACGTCCGCTGCCAGAAGCTGCCGATCCGGGCGGAATGACGGACTGATAAATGACCGTAATCCTGATACGGGGTTTACGACTAAATTGCCGCCTTGTGATCGACAGGAAATTAGTTAGCATGCTGAATCATTATTGGTTGTAAAGGGGGGAAAAAATTAGTATTTTGGGGTGTAACTAATTAACTATAATACTACATGTACCCTACTATACTAGTACCGGAGCGGAATTCCCCATTCTCCTCGATCCGGGCGGAAACAAGATGTACCCTGTTCCGGCATGTCATCACATGACGCTTCTTTCTTCCCAAAATTTTTTTTTTTCAAGTTTTGGATTTTTTGGGGAATTTCCCTGCAACTGTGCTAGTGTAGCTTTGCATGAAAAAATGCATAAAGTTCTGGGCGGATCGACAGGAAACAGTTACATCATTTACTCTGCGCGGCAGTCGAGCATGTATTATAGTGTAACATGTATTATAGTGTGGATCGTCGGATGGCCACGGAGACCGAACTCACCGAACAGAGAAGCATAAACTTAAAGCATAAGGTGGAGAAGAAGGGGAAAAAAAAAGAAAGAAAAAAAAGCGCCAGGAAATTGTCGGTTTCTGGAAAAGCTCACCTTGTCCACTGACCAGTCGCAGGCGCGTGGCCAATCAGCTGGGAATACGAGTACGAGTATCCATTTGCGTAAGTCCAAAGTACGTACTTACCTTGCCAGGCTGATTCTGGGCACTGGGGGGGGCAGCTGACAGAGGCGGCGGTCAGTGGCCACTGATGACTACAAGTTGCTCACAGCCTCAAGATCTTAGGTCCGGTCGAGGAGTCGGGGCTCGGAGCAACTTGTATGCTCAAGTGCTCAAGTGCCCAAGCTGTTTCTGGCAGTCGTTGCGAAACACGACGACCGCCGACAAAACTTGACTGTGACAAATAATGCAAATATGACTTGCCTGAAGAAATACTAATGAATTAGCTGAGAGCGAAAAATAGGGCAGCCTGTGGATCCAGCCCGATCTTTTTTTTTTTAAGTAAATTCTTACAGGTCCACTTATTACTTAACTCCAGTAACTATGTACTCCATAAGTCAGGACGA